TTTTACCGCAATTAGACGGTCCACAAATTATACAACGTATACTATCGGGTAGCAAAGGACCGTGTTTCATTCGTTTTGACACAGATTTATCCAAATCGACGTTAGAAACTGGTAACTTACATGTTTGCGCTTCGAAAAACATTACGTATAAAAGATTGATGTAACAATTACACCGTTTTAAACGATGATTCGACGTCGACGATCTAACATTAATAAACGCGGAAACGGTTTAGTTAATTCTCTTATAAATAATCTTCCCGTAGAAGTTCATTGGCCAACGTATCAATATCTAGGACCCGGCACGCGGTTAGAAAAGCGATTGGCTCGTGGTGACCCTGGTAAAAATCCGCTGGATGCAGCAGCACGAGAACACGATATAGCATATAGTAAATATAAAGACATTAAGAATCGTCATAAAGCCGATTACGTTTTACAAAATCGAGCTTGGGAACGTGTTAAAGCAAAAGATAGTACGTTCGGAGAAAAAGTAGCGGCTTACGCAACTACCAATATCATGAAAGCGAAACGCAAACTCGGGATGGGAATAAATTTTAACTCGATCGTTAGCTCGAGTCGAAAGGCGATGCGAAAAATGAAAGGTAAAAGTGCGAAGAAAGCAAGTATAATTGCACTCGCAGCAGCTAAAAAAACATTTAAAAACTCTGTTCGAAAACCTAGTGCACCTCGTACTATAAAAATACCGAAATTTGGTGGAGTGCTTCCCTTGATTCCTATTTTCGCAGGTCTTTCTGCTCTAGGCTCGTTGGCAGGTGGTACCGCTAATATAATCAAAGCGGTGAATGAAGTAAGAAAAAATAAGGATTCAAAAAGTCCAGTTAAAACGGTGGAGGTATGCTCGCAAAAAGAGGATCATCATTATATTTGAAACCATTTCAAAAAAACTAAATCATATGCTACCCAGTGATCGCCCGCTAAACAGCGATGATATTATAAAATATGCAAGACTATTAAAACTATCTCATTTTCGTAATATTTTTTCACGAGATAAGTTACCTAAAACACCACGAACGATTGAATGTGCTGTCGTGAATTTGGATGATGATACGGGTGAAGGCACGCACTGGGTAGCATATTATAAAAAAAATAAAACCGTTTTTTATTTCGATTCGTTTGGTAACTTACCACCGCCTTTAGAATTACGCTCCTATTTAAAAGGATGTAGTATAAAATTTAATTACACTCGTGTTCAAGAATTCAATACGTTCGTGTGTGGACAATTGTGTTTGAAATTTTTACTGGAACGATGCAACGCTCTTTAACGTTATCTTTTCAAGGTAACCAGTCTAGAATGATCAGTACCTTTTTCCCACCTATTGAATTAGATGGAACTGCAGAATTAGCACTTTTGAGTTTACAAGCTTGCAACTCTAAACCAAATGTTAGTGAAAAAAATAATTCTTTTCGTATTTTAACCTATAACGATTACCTTGAAAGTTCAACGTCTGTTAATAATTCCGTTATTGATTTATCAATACCAATAGGATCGTACGAGTTAGATGATATAGGTAAATATCTCTCGGATGAATTGAAAAAACATAATATTATTTTCAACTTGAAATCCAATGTGAATACATTGAAATCCGAAATGTTTTGCGATAAAACAGTAAATTTCACAGCAAACAATAGCATAGGAGAGTTGTTGGGATTCAATAAAAAAACGTTTGAAGGCGGTGTCATACATGAATCAGAACAAATGGCTAATATTAATCCACTATCGTGTATAAGAATAGAGTGTGATATTGTACATGGAGCATTTGTTAACGGACGCGAGACGTGTTCTATTCACGAGTTTTATCCCTTGGTGTCACCCGGTTATAAGATTGTAGAATCACCTAATAATCTTATATATTATTCCGTGTTGACCAATCAAATAGATAACGTAAAAATTGAAATTAAAGATCAGAACGGAGAGCTTGTCGATTTCAGAGGAGAAAGTGTAACGGTTCGTGTTCATATTCGATATGGGTATACAATATAACGTTAAAAAGAGACGTTTTCATGAAGTTGAGAACAGTTCAATTTCAAAACTTCCAGAGTTAACAAGGGAGAGCTTGACTACACTTTTAAATCTTGGTTATACACTTGAAAATCGTAATGGAAGATATTCTGAACATTCACGAAAAACCGTACTTCGAAGAAAGTATAACAAAATTTGAATACCATTCGTATCAACCATTTTCTAGTAACGCGCTGTCGAATAACGATGAAATACGAATTGCGATACAACATCAAGATTTATATACTCTCCCCAGCGAATCTTTGTTACACATCGAAGGTGAAGTTGAAAGAAATATAGAAACAGGTAATGGAGAAGCTTCTGTAAAATTAATAAACAATGGCATTATGTTCCTATTTGATGAAATTCGTTACGAATTAAACTCTGTTGAAATTGATAAAGTAAGAAATCCTGGTATTACGACATGTATGAAAGGTTATGCANGAATTAAACTCTGTTGAAATTGATAAAGTAAGAAATCCCGGTATTACAACATGTATGAAAGGTTATGCGTCTTTTCAAACGGCAAACCTTTACCGATATCAAAATGCCGGATGGAATGAAAGTGGTGAATCTAGAGAAAAATTCGAAGTGTGCATACCTCTCAAAGTAATTATGGGATTTGCGGAAGATCATCGTAAAATAATAATAAATTCCCGACAAGAATTAATACTGCATAGATCCAGCGTGGACATTAACGCATTAAAGTGTGAGCGAGCGAATGGTAAAATAAAAATTTCGAAAATAATGTGGAGAATGCCTCATATAAACGTAGAGGACAGTGTAAGATTGAAACTGTTAAAGACTTTAGATTCTCGTAAACCACTTTACATCGCTTTTAGAAGTTGGGAATTATTTGAACATCCATATTTACCACAAACTACAAAACATTCGTGGGCCGTTAAAACATCAACGCATACGGAAAAACCTAGATATGTGATTATAGGATTTCAAACTAAACGTAAAAACAAAATAACAGCTGACATGAGTAGATTCGATCACTGTTCTCTAATATTACTCAAAGTATTTTTGAATTCGGAATCATATCCTTACGATAGTTTAAACATTGATTTCGATAATGATAAATATTCAGCATTATATCAAATGTATTCATCGTTTCAAGATAGCTTTTATAATATAGATAACGGTGATCCTATTTTGACTAAAGAAGAATTTAAAGATAACGCTCCTATAGTTGTTATCGATTGTTCTAAACAAAATGAAAAAATTAAGAGCGCTCCCGTTGACGTTCGAATTGAATTCGAAACTAAAATTCCTATACCAAACGATACATCAGCATATTGTCTTATACTACATGATAAGATTTTCGAGTATAACGCTATGACTAGCGAAGTACACAAGGTGGTTTAATTTATGAAATAAAAAATTAATATAAGTATAATATTTTTTTAAATTTAAAACAATTACTATTGTACATAATTAGTTATTTATGTTTTACATTTAATGATTAAATTTAAATTTATTTACAATATTATACATTTTTAATATAATGNTTATTTACAATATTATACATTATTAATATCTTTATAAATTTATTTATTACTATTGTTATTGAAATAGTTATTTAACTTTTTTTTTTTCCAATGTTTTTGTTCATATTCTTTGAATACAGCTAGTGATAATTCATCTGTCTCTCGAGCACATTCTTCGTCGTGAAATTCAATATTCCAACTCCTAACGTCTTCTGAAACACGATAATAATTTTATTACTATTTAAAACAGATTTCTAATTTTTTTTTTACTTACTTATCATTTCTTGGTAATCTGATGTCTTTACATCATCAACCCACGTTCCCTGTGTTATTAGCTCCAATAAATCTTCTTCCGTATCAAAATTCAACCATGGATGTGCTCCGAGATGAAGACAATTTCCATTAACTGATTCATTATTTAACTGATTCTATTATTATAATAAAAACATGAAAATTTTTTAAATATATATAAAATATTAAACACATACCGTATCATTTCACCAAGTTTGATGTTGCCCCGCATCGATCATCGAATATGATGTAGGATTTTCTATTTCATTAACTATATTTAAATAATAATCATCCATATTCCAAAAATCTGGTAATAATTCTTGAGACTGCGAAAATATATATATTTTATTATAATCGCATAAATAAAATTATTTTTAAATTACTTACCATTGTTTGCGAAAGTGGTTCAATTTTCATCTCGTTTATTATATCTACGAATTCTTCTTCGCCAAGTAGTGGAGACAGCGGTTCACTTCTCATATTTTTTAGAATTTGTAAAAATTCTTCGTTGTTAATACTTTGTGATGCCATGTTGCTTAAACGCTTTTGATCGAATGACTGTGGTGATCACACATACTCTTATACAATCTTACAGTAGAATTTCAAAATGATGAATTAGCATTTCTTTTGACACTGCGATTGGTTTAAAATTAGTTGACGTTTTAAAAACAATTGCTGGAATGGATACTGTGAGATATATATCAATTTTTAAATTTACTTCGTTATATTTTTGTCTTAAAATTTGCTGATTATGTGTTATTTAAATGCTAACTGTTTAAATCATAAAATAACCAACTTGCGTATTATATATACATGCATTTAAAATATTATTTCAGCATTTTGTCTTATCTAGCAGCATTTAAATTTTTTTCTTTTTAAGTGATATGTAATCATAGAAACGATGACTGGAGTTATAGAAATATGAATTAAATTTATCGTATCTGCTTTTGTGAGAAATTAAATTTTCTTGATAATATACTCATCAAGTATGCAGTTATAACTATAAGTTACATATTTTATTTTCATAAAGTATTTAATAATGTGTGTTTAATATCACAATAAAGAATGAGACGTTATACAATAGTTATATATTCTTATCTCACAAATTTGTTGATTGTATATATTATTTTGATAGAAAATTTTTTTAATCAATTATCAAACAGTTAGTTTATATAATAATTTTTATTTTAATTAAAAAATGTTTTACAATACAATTATATCATTTCAAAATTGTTTACAATTATTGTTAATAATATTTTTTTATTTTGTTAACTGCTGCTTTCAGGCGTTTAAATGTAAAAAATGAGGAGGTAACACTCCTCAAATAACAGTACTGTCGTACATTAAATCATAATAAATATAAGAGAGGCGCTAAATAATATATATTATCTGTTATCAAAATAACCTCACTGATAAACACTTATCACACTATCCTATGAGTATAATAATGTAATAACGGAAATTATATAATCTGTTATCAAAATAGCTTCACTGATAAACACTTATCACACTATCCTATAACTATAACGCTTTTTTTAAATAAGTGGGAGGAGGAGGTTCCAATTTTTATGTGATAAGAGAGGAGGAGGAATTTTGGGAGGTGGCCCTACAAACACACATCACAGAGGTCAAATTTTTTTTTTTCAAATTAAAGTATATTACATAAGCTTTAATTTAAGATATATATAAAAGTGTCAGTATTTCCGGAATACTTTCAAAAATTAAATTGAAAATATCTTAGTTACAATACGCATGTTTAAAGTTTTGACCCCCATTTTTAAAGGGATATGATCCGATTTACAAAAAAAAGCGTATCAGATGAAAGGGGTATATAAGTATTTATTATAAAAAATAATAATATTGATCCATACATTTTTCCAAAAGTTATATCAAATATAAATTAAATAATATAAAATATAAAATCGAGAATTTTTTCACGGAAATCGTACGTTTTTCTTTAATTTTGATAACCGTTTTCACCACAAACACAAGTCCAGAGGTCAAATTTTTTTTTTTCAAATTAAAGTATATTACATAAGCTTTAATTTAAGATATATATAAAAGTGTCAGTCTTTCCGGAACATTTTCAAAAGTTAAGTTGAAAAAGTTAATTTTTTGTAAAAAAGTTACCATTTTGAAACCCTTTCTGTGGGCTGTTAAAGGGTCAAATGTTCAAAAAAATATATCAAATGATAGGTAATTATCTAAGGTATTTATAAAAAAAAAATTATATTGATTCGATCATTTTTTAAAAAGTTATGGTACTTTTAAGTAAAAAAAATTGAAAAAATATCGAAAATTAGCGATTTTTAAATTTGTAAATTTTTGGGGGATTTCCCCCGTTTGCGTGGAACGAGGGAATTTTGTTCAATTTTTGAGGGTAATGTCTTCAACTAGATACGATTTGTGATCTTTTGACATATTTTCATCAAAATCGGTTGAGTGAGAGCTGAGATTGAGCGTATACAGACACAAAAAAAAAAAACACATCATAGTAAAATTAATACCTTCTCAGATTCGCATCGAAGCTAAAAAATACTTAGTCAACAGACGTAAAAAAATCAATAAGTAAAGAAATTAAAATTATATTTATAATAAAATATAGAGTGTTTAGGATCATTTACAAGTAAGATCAGTCGTAGACTTTGTGTAGTTAAATCTTATTATTTAAAATTTTAAATAGTTTTTGTAAGTAATTATATGGACTATATGACGTATAGTGTAAATCGTGTATGTAGTGCGTTTAATACCAAAATCAACATTGGATTATTTGAAATATTATTGTATTATGCAGGATGTAAGGTAGGTACAATTTAATCTACGCTATCGAATCTCCAACAATCTATTGCGTAATAAACCATTATTAAAAAATTAAATAGGAAAATTAATATTTAATAAGTGAAACAATTAATGTGTAAATCATATAATAAATATCATAGACGCAGACATTTTATTTTAATTATTTTATTTTATTATAAATTATAAACGGGTAAAAAAAAACCCTTTAACATAATGTGATAGAATAAATACAATAATTTCTTAGTTAACATAAATTAAATGAAAAAAATACAATTTTAACTAAATACTATCAGATTTATAATAAACAATTAGATATAAACAAAAATACAATACACAATTAGATAATGCATTATAAATATTCGACTTGAAAACATCACGAGACATATAGAAAAAATAACAATGTTTAAAATTTTATTAGCTAACAAGAGGACTCGAGGGAAATATGATGCTGAGCTATAATTAGTGATCCAGAAAGGAACATGAAACAGTTTAATAACTCTGAGGTTTGATTATTAAATTGTAGCACATTAATATTTCAATTTTTACAGATTTTTAAACTGTTAAAAATAAATTGATCTGACTTATATCTAAGCAGGGTAGGATTTTAAGGATTAAAGGGTAGGATACTACTCACAATAATTCTTCAAATCAATATAATCAGCAGTTTGTATAAAAGTTTGTTAGAAAATGTTTTCTATGCATGTTTGTGAAGAGGAACAAGTCGGTAAATTATGACATTCTCCTGGTTGGTTACCAACCAGGTATTTTTTGGTCTAAGAAAATTTTTAGTTTGAGAACTTAATTTTGGTATTTTTTAATGTAAAGTATCTTTTGCGGTGGGTCAAACCGACTTTGAGCTCGTCTATTCCACCCCCTTCTCATGTACCTTTCATTAAGATGAAAGAGCAAGGGAAACATATTACTCTGAAAAATGTGTGGTTAATTTAGCGTATTATATGAAATAGGGGAGACATGTTCCCCTGAAAAATATGCTATCCTCTTAAAGTAGTTCTTTAAGCGTATTATACGCTGTATCTTGTTTTATCGTGTTAAATTCGTAGTGGACACAACCTTCAAAAAATTTGCGATCTCCATCTTTCACCGCATTGAACTCGTATACCTATAACTTATGTAGTGTTGTTGTTTACTTAAAAACATGTTGCCAGTGTTTTATTTAAAAATAATAACTTTAACAATAATATATGACTGTGATAGTTTGAAACATAGTTTCCCTCTTAGGAATAAAGTAAAATTACACTATGTCACGCAATCAAGAAATGGGATCGATTCCTATGTAGAGTGATTTTTTTAGCATAATCCACTCAATTACTTATAGAATAAAAATAATTTAAACTTTTTTTTTTTTTTTTTGAAACCAATAGTTAAATATTACTCTTTAATAATTAGGTATATGTAATACTTTTTAAGTTCATTCTTTACACCTTGCAAACGTGTTAACTTTGTTTTTCGAATGTGAATACATATTTTGAATTTAATAAAACGCTTCGATGCAAATCTTTAGATAGCGTTTAATTTAAAAAAAATTGGTGTTTTATTCCAAAAGCTACTTGATTTGCTGGTTCCTTAATATCTCGATTAAGATAAAGTATGTTGAATGAAAGAAAGATTATTAAAAAATATTATTTCTCATAAAAAAATTGTTTTGTTCCATACACTTTTCAATAAGTTATAGCATTATAAATTTGAACATGTAAAAAATAAAATCGAGAATTTTCACACAAAAATAACATTTGGTTTGGTTGGGTTTTTTTTCCATAATAAAGTACATTACATTAGCTTTAATTTAAGATATATATATAAAAGTACAAAGTTAGGTTCTTCTTTTCCACGATCCGGACCATGTTCAATGAGTTAACTAAATACTATCAGAGATATAATAAATAATTAGATATAAACAAATTACAATACACAATTAGATAATGCATTATAAATATTCGACTTGAAGACATCACGAGACTTATAGAAAAAATAACAATGTTTAAAATTTTATTAGCTAACAATAGGACTCGAGGAAAATATGATGCTGAGCTATAATTAGTGGTACAGAAAGGAACATGAAACAGGTTAAAAACTCTGAGGTTTATTTGACTAGTTCTAAAGGAAGTAACTCTGGGCAATCTACATAACCATTTAGTAAGTCATATAAAAACATAAGATCATTAACTCTTCTTCTAAGTTCACAAGATGTAATACCTAACTGAGTCGAATGTAAATAATATGAATCCCTGGAAAGAACTAATATTCAATTTAAAACAGATAGATTTCGTATACTTGTATTGGACGTTTTCTAATAAATTAATGTAAACAGCATAATTAGGGGACCAAACTAAAGAATCAAACTCAAGCTTTGATCTGACAAGAGAAAAATTTAACAATTTTAAAGTATTTATGTTTTTAAAATATTTAGTATTTCTATTAAGAAAACCCAAACTCTTAAAAGCATTACTGACTGACAAATTTATATGTCTAGTAAAGAAAAAATTATCTTCAAAAATTATTCCCAAATAACTTATGAAATAAACCCTAGTTAAACTGGAATTACACAAACTATAGTTAAAGAAAATGGGATCTTTTTTTACGGGAAAATAATATATTATTGAGGTGGACATAATGCCCATGCACTCAGACCTGTTGGTCCATTGTGCGCAAACATAACTCTACATTTGTTAAAGTTCAGAGGTAGCTCATTTGTAACACTCCAATTATATAGTTTTTCAATGTTTAACTGTAATTTAATACAATCACTGATTGAGTTGATAACCGTAAATATTTTGGCATCATCAGCATACAATTAAATATTTATAGGGGTATCAAGAATACTAGGCAAGTCATTTATATATAAAATAAATAATAAAAGACCTA